GTAGAACGCGAGGTAGAAGACACAGATGCAGATCGTTATAGAAATGAAATTGGTAGAAGCCAGAACAGGGCATGAACCCATCCTTGGAGAAAAGGAGAAGAAGATGATCACAAGGGTGTCAACTCTAATATTTGTCAATACGAGCATAACTGCGCCATCGCAGACCAGTACCCATAAAGCTGAAAAAAGATACTGTTATTTTTTAATTGCTCAATCATTTGCAGAGCTAAAAATTAATCTTAGACGTAGCACCGCTTTAACCGCCGGGCCGCAGAAGTGAAAGTGGGGTGGGGGGGGGCGAGGTGTTTTCGTAAATTTCACTTTACGACGCTCCTATTTGTCCGATTTGCATGATTGCCACGCCGTTGGATTCAGGAAGCATGTCGCCATCGCGCTATAAGGCCACATTTTTGAATTTGTTCTCGAAAGTTAGAACTAATTTCCAATACGCATTTTTGCTAGATTTTTGGAAAAAAGTAATCGTAGCGTAAATTCTATTTTTAAAAAGGCGTTAAATGCCGTTTACAGATCGAAAATTCGGACTATTGGTTCAGACGTTATCGGTAAAGTAAATTTTACTTATTTTGGTGCTGCCACGTGGTGGCTACAAATTGTACTAGTGTTGGGACATTTATCCTTAAAGAGAAAAGGCAAGGAAAAAGCTTCCAGTTTTTACAACCGGAAGAAATATTTCAACACATTTTTAATATTCTTCCCAAAAGATATAAACTAATTGTTGACTAACAAACTACTTGACTATAGTCAATAGTAATAAATATTTTTTCCTATTTTACTGCTTCCTATACCTTTCAAAGTCTAGAGTAAGATTATGGAAAAACACAAATATAATTTGAAAAAAATTGATATAATTAAAAGTTCAAAAGGACCACCCACAAAATTACTCTTTAGCAATTAGATATGGGGACATCCGTAAGAGAAAACTGGAAGGCAAATAGGCACACAGCCACTCCACGGATTCGAACTGGCGGTGGGGTTTCACTTCCGTCAGATTGTCTCAGGACCAGTTTCATCACATATTAGAGCGACTTCTAGTACCCAGTAATTGTTTGTTTCCACGTTCTACCTAACGTCTTTCGAGGGATTTCAGTTCACGAAGGATTTGGGCATTCCTTGGCAAATTGAAGTTAATATATTCTGGCTTATTTATTTAATTAGTTTTATTTTAGATGTAATTCAATTTTAATCTTTATTTTGGGAATAAACTGTTACGATTGTCCTGTCCAGCAATGGGAATGGAAAAGGAAATTATTCTTCACAATAATATTGGTTTAAGGAGGTTTAAGCAATAATCGGGTGGTGATACAGATATTGAATCCACTTCTAGGCTAACACTGAGACTCTTAAAAAATAATACCATACCACATACCAGATGTATCCACCAGCGGATCCAGGGTGGGGGAATGCCATGGGGGTTCATGGCCCCCCAAAAGCATAGAGTTTTAATTTCCTTTTTAAATTTGGAAAAATGAATTTAAATATTCTCACTCACAATAGTCTCACAATAGGCACATACAGTAGTTAATGTCCTATTCTCCTGCATCTGGGTTACCTTTTCGGTTATTCCCCAGTCGATCTACGCTCTCAAATCCCTGAGAGTTGCAAACGACTACTTTGATTTTTGGAGATTCTTCACATTAAACTCCAGCAACGATTTCAAAAGTTTCTCAGAAATGGCTCCGATTTTTTTCATTCGATTTTCTCCTCATATAAAAAAGTACAATATAAAAGACAGATATTTGTATTAAATGAAAACCGAATTAAAAATTTAGATCTTTACAAAATATCATGTAGATCTTTTTGAATAACGAGTAGTTTGTCGCGTAATTTCAACTAGAAGTAAAGGAAATTTATTACAAAAACCTATTGTCAAAAATGGTTTCTTTTCAAATTTTTTTCACAGATAGCCACGAAATGGTGCTTAATAAATCCGCGTAAGAAATGGTGCAGGAAGCTTTTTTGTTGAACTTCCGGAGTTATAGAAAATGGCCAAAAATTAAGAAACAATGCGATAAAATGTGAGCTGTTTTATCCCTACCACTACCATGTACATACGAGTACTATAGACTAGCTTTTCAGGCTTTTCCCATTTTCCATTGAAATATGACATTAAAAATATTACAGCATTTCTATTGAAAAATTGAAGCCGTTCTTGAGAAAATATCATTTGAGAGTTTTTAAAAATGCGCAATTTTGAGATCATTTTCTTATAAAGCTTTTGAGCTTTCGAGAAATTTCATGAGAAATCATTTAAAGCATTTGCACTCACAACATGAAAGAATGTATAAAGAATGTCTATAGTGTAAATATCAATGTCGTGAAAGATTTTTTTTAAATACCTTTGAAAGAGTTTTTGAAAAATTAAAAGAATACAGCAAAATGGAGAGTATGCGAAGTTAATCAGTGCATTGGCTCTACTCGTAAAAGAAACTTTTAAAGAAACTGGACCCGTGTTTGAGATTTTTTTAAATGGCTTTATTTCACTAAAAAGTACGTGATAACTACACATATTTTGAAAACTTCTACGTGAACGTATTTAAAGATCTAATTTGAAAAAACAGATTTCTTTTAGAAGAAATATCTCAGTTTTCAATTATTCTATTGTAGAAAGACACTGAAAAAACAATTTGCAATTTTCGAAAATTGATAGTTTTCGGTCCGATTGTTGTTAAATTCTAACTTCAAAAATATTGACAAGCTTCTGAATGCCATTTTTATATTTAATAAGCATATTTCGGATTGTCAGACAATTTCATTGCCCAAAAAAATCACTATTAATTTCTAGTGTGTTTTATGAAACATTGAGTTGGTTAATGTGTTCCAAAAAATATTGAAATAAAGCTCAAACTTAACGTAGCGGAATGCGACAAATCCAATGTGATATTTGAGGAAGTTATGGAGTGAATTTACGCTCTCGCGCCATATCAATTGCTCCAAAAACATCTCATCAGTGACGTTGTAAAAGAAATTAACATTGAGGAGCACAGTCTTTTTGCATTGAGTTGCAGATCACTGAATATTAATCAGAGGCGCCCCGAAATCTGCAAAGATTTTTGTAAAAAAGTTGTTGATTTTTACACACGAAAACTCAATAACGAACTTCCGTTCCTTCGTTTCTTCTGAACTGAGTTCGTGCATAATGCCTTCGCGTGACAAACCCACATCATTTTTGTGTTCGTGATGCAGCCACATTTGTGTACACTGAAGCATTTGAAGCAGAGTTTCTTGGGACCCGAGGGCGGTCTGGAAAGCAACCCGATTCGGAGCTACAAGGTAGCACATCCGGAAATCGGAGTACGTAATGGGCGTTTGGTGGAGGACGACCTGTGATTTAGAATTTCACTGACCTTCGCGTGTATCCCAAGGCGATTGTTGTCTTCAATTGTTAATGGCTTCATTTCAAGCTATAATAGTGCGTACGTCAATGAAGACGAGCAGTCAATGGCTGAGCTCCCTGACAAAGAACTGGATCGATTGTTAAACTAACAATAAGTTAAAAGCTTTACTCGAACTTAAACGAAAGACTAGTAACTGATCTCAACATTGTCTTAAAAATTATATTCGCTTTATTTTTCTTCACTGTATTTCCGTCTATCACGAGAACGTTTAACTCATGACACTGCGCTGTTTTAGCTTAAAGCCAGTGAAACTTGAGGCGAGGAAGAAAACTGGTATACAGCAAGTATTGATTTGAAGATTCAGTGCTCTCAATTCATCTGACTCGCTATCCAGACCACTTATTATTTTCTGCTGGTCTCATTACTAGTACACAGAAAGACTTAGTTGTTAATTTGTAGCGTACTTTACATCAATAATATAATTTGACATTAGGTTTAGAAAAGTTACAAAACGTCAAAAATTTGGAATACACTTGCATCAATGACAAGTCCCTTGGAAAAATATTAGTTGTTTTAAGATTTTCAGTATTATTAATGCTATTAAGTTTTGTTGCTTTTTGTATGTTTTCATGCTACTTTCAAAATTGCTGTTTTCTAAAGGCCATTTTTGTATTGTTCCAGCGGTGAAATGGACCAACTTGTACGGTAAGTATCGTTTTCCTACTTGGCGCGCGCGCAGCTACCCCTCGAGTTGAATGCGGAGACCTGAGCGTGCGCGTTTCGCCGCGCAGTGAAATGGAACCTGCTGAGCTACCTGAGCCACCTGACGGGCCACGCCTACTTCCAAATGCCGCTGAGTGTGGCGGACGCGCGGCGCGAGGGCTGGGTGCAGGCGGCCAGCGGCAACACCACCTCCACGTGGTGCCTGCGCGACGACCCGCGTGTGTGCGTGCTCTACGACCTGCAGGGCTCCGTGGCCGGCATGCAAGTGTCGGTGAGTGCCGAGAGAGAGCGCCCGCGCAAGCACAAGCGCTGCGTATCTCTGCCTGCCAGATAGCGCCGCATTCCTGACAACGGCTGTAATACTGTTCGTAAACACATTCGTTCGTGAAACGGACTCCTTGAAGGAAACGTACAAAGGCAAACACAGTGTGGGTTGAAAGTGACAGCGGCAACCATTTCAAGATGAAATATTATTGAAAAAAGTAAGAGATGTTTAAGTAATTAGGGACGCCAATGAAACATATTATTTTTTTTTTCACTTCTCATAGACTAACACGCTCGATGTTGTAACAGTGGTCGAATCAACTACCGAGACAGTGAATTGCAATTGCAATTGACGGTGAAATTTATCTCCCATTTCCTACCCACCGATTTTGGTGACGTAGTTGACAATCGGTGCAAATGATGTCAGTTATAAGGCTCAAAAACAAAAAGTTCTAATCTTATGGTGCTACAGTAAGTAAATTATTGCCTTCGCTAAATAATTCAGAAGCATCCATTGATCTGCAAATTACAACCAGATCGTTATGTACATAATTATTTTGAAATTAAATTAAATATTACTCAAGGATGAAAAATTAGCCTTCAAGACAAGATATAAGTGTCACTAGTGAGTCTAAACTTATTTACTTTCGAATACATTGTATACGTTAGTAAATGAAAACGAGAAACTATAAATTAAATACTAAATTGAATATGAAAAACTCAAACTCAATACATTTTGCGTCGTGTTAATGCGATTGTTACGCCCACGCAAAAAATGGGCAGATTTGGGAATAAGTAAATAATATTGCAGATGAATTAAAATTCACAATTTAATTTATTTTACTAGAGACTAAAAAGTTTTGTTTTCAGAAACAAAAGATTCTTTACTTAGGGATAAAAGACCTCTGCTAAGTAAAGGCCTTAGGCCAAAGACTCCACCGTATCTGGCCTGTTTCCACCATTGGCATTGCCTTATGACGGCTCTACCAGAACCGGTCCCGGGAGTAGTCACCGATTGAGCAAAACAGCCTTCAACTGGTTCACTCATTGACCCACCGCCATGTTTCATAATTAGACGAGATAGTCAGTTTTCTTATCTTACTTGGTTGACTATCTCAGACAGTGTCTCTATGACCTCACGCAAAAAATTAATTTAATGATGCCTTTTTTTAGAGTGTTTGTTTACTCCGAAGTGCGACCAGAATTTGCCTATTCGCCTAAAACACTGGTCTGCGTGATTTTTGATGTCTGTAATGTTTTATTTCTTTTTGTATCTGTTTTTTGCACTGATTTCAAATCTACAATCGGTATTTCCGTATCAGGTCTAGTTTGTTTTTCTCTACAAGCCAATATGTTTTTAACATTAGATTACATTGTTAGATTTTAATGCTAATACAAAATATTTTTTGTTTGTTTTCTTTCAGACAGATTGTTTTAATTACTATAGTTTTATAGTACATAAAGAAAAATAAACTTCATTAATTAACATGAATAGAAAATATTAAAAATGCCAAAAATGTATAGTACAAATTACTGATGAGAACGAAAAACTTCCAGAAACAGTAATGTGATTAACATTTTTTTTTATTTTTACAGTTTATCTCACTATTATTGGGAACGCAAGTAGGTTACAGTAAATATCCCTGCTTTCTTTCTTTGTGGAATAGTCAGGTAGACTTCAAACATTTTACAATACATAAATGGCCATCTCGAGAAAGTTTCACAACCGCTAGAAACAACATTATTGCCTACTCATTGATTGATCCACAAAAATGTTTGCTCTCACCTCTCCACATAAAACCAGGGGTAATGAAAAACCTCGTTTAAGCATTGAATATACAGAATCCAGCTTTTCTTTATGTAATGAAAACACATCAGTGAGGCAAAATTGAATACAGGTAGTTTTGATGGCCCCCAAATTAGAAGATTAATGAATGATCCCGAGTTTGAAAAGAGTACGAATAAAATACAAAGGGAAAGCTTGGCTTCATTTCATAGCCACTGTAAAACAATTTCTTGGAAAGTAACGAAGTCTCGAATATGAAACTCTCATTCGAAGTCTCCTGAACAGCTTCAAGAACATGGAAACTCGCATGTCTATAAAATTGCATTTTCTGAGTTCTCATCTAAATTATTTTCCAGACAATTGTGAGGATTATAGTGGGGAACAAGGAGAAATATTCCACCAGGACGTCAGGACGATGAAAGAGAGGTACCAAGGTCGCTGGGACATGACGGTTGACATTTGTTGGTGTGTGTAAAGAGATGCACCTGGTGCCGCACATAAAAAAAAGGCGCTTAAGTCATGATTTTTATAAAATGAATTGCCTTATATAAAAAAAACTTTGAAATATGATAAAGGAAAGGCAAAATAGTCACATTTAGTTTAATCATACACGTTTATTACTCACAAGGGATGCATACTGAAAGGAAGTACGAAAGTATTTATTTTTTCCACAATATTTGTTTCTTTTAATATAATTTTCTATTAACAACGAATGCGCTGAACCTATCTTGTGTTTTATTCACTTATTACTTAGCTTCATGTAATCTACAGTTGTTGTCTCGTCTGTTATCTAGTTATTGACCCTCTATAAACAGAAAATGTCATAATGGTAAAAACAGTATGCTTAATAGCCATAGGATCCATAGCACAGAAACTATACGTGATTGAGGGAAAATAATATTATTTTCTAGTTCAGCCCAGTCAATTCCTACAAAAACCGTTGAAAAAATTTAAACATCATTTAGAAAAAAAAGCGCAGGCCAGAGAAGTAGGCGTAACCAGCCTTTTAGATGTTTTCTTATAAAGACATTTGTCTTGATGCTACATCAACAGTTTATTTGTTGTTTTATGTATATTTATTAATAAAGTATTAAATTTAGATATTGATAAAGTATCGTCACAGCTACATTAGTCTCATTTAATGTATAGCTACACTCACATCAATAAGCAGACACATTATTCAGAGTCAATGTAAGTCGGATTATGAGTGGGTCATGGATGATTACTAATTATTTTGGTAGGGGTTTGAATGTAGAGAGTTGATTCAAATTGATATTTGAATCAGTGGATCTTTTGTAATTTAAACTTACTAATATTTCAAATAAAATAATTTCTAAATGATAAGTGTTGATGGCGGATTTACGAGAAGAATGGGAGTAGGTATAAGTTGGTAAAGAGTTTTCACCGTAATCCGCATGTACAACCCCGAATTCCACCTACACTGCGGTACTTCTAACGCATACACTGTGATGTTTGTCTACAAAATAATGTGTGCACTTTAATTGCAGACTGGTGAGGTGACATTTACTCGAAGAATGATTATCATGCATTTGTTGCAGCTTCCTGTCGCTGACTTGCAGTTCAAGGGAAACCCATACGATGTAACGGCACATCCTCTTTTCATTAGAGACCGACTCTTCAACATGGACGTCTTCACTTCAAGATACTTTCTGGTTGACCAAGGCAAGTGCAGCTCAAACAGTGTAGTAACACTTCATGAACGTGATGACAAATCGCTATCTCATTTTGGCATATATTGATTAGACTGATATTTATGCAAATCAAGTATACTGGAGCCTACCTATGAAATTTTAGGAAGGTTCTAAACCTCGGATCACAAGTCCTCAAAATTATTTTTAGCTCAAAAGAAGTGATGTGCCATGTAACAATGGAAAAATATAATTTTTTTTAAATTCAGTTTTTAGTGCTAGTATACAATTCCCTCTGAATCTGGATCCGCCGATTACAACAATTTGGTCTATGTTCGGACAGGCAATGGCTGGAGTGGTGGTAGTCTGATGTGAAAACGTAACTCCTTTCTGCTTCTGTAGGTTCGCGAGAACAAACGCATTTCCACACTTGCACAGGTGCAGAGGTGAGCAGAGGGGACAGCTCGAACGGGTAATCCCCCAGCTTACTGACACTGTCGGATCAAAGACCACGAGACACCTTTCAATTTCAGCCGTTCATTGATATTAAACTTTAATATACCACTGAATCCAAAAAATTGAATTTTGTTCTTCGGGGTTTGTTAAGTATATAAAAAATATATCCAATAACGTGTCTAAATTCTGTATGTGGTTGTGTACATAGAAGTGTGCAAGGGCGACTAGCACCTTTGACGAACCTTCCGTGCAAAGGACTTAGAATCTGAAAGTACCAATTTAATTTCTCATAATCCATATTCGAAAGCTGCGCACCTGCGCCAACTTATTGCTGGACTCGTAGCGCTGAGGGCCTCGGCACCGCAGAGTACAGGCCCATTCACAATGCAAACATAAACATAAGCATGGAATTAACATAAAGGCGTCCATATGGCGTCCATAAGCGGACTCATTCACAATTCGTTCGCATTAACATAACACGTAAGACGTTAACTTAAAAGCTTGCAAGCTTCAAGCTTCTGTTCTTGTGCTTAAGTAAGACATAAATCAATCACAGAACGGTAACTGAAAATCGGGAATCGAATTGGGAGCGAAGTCTATAGAAGAACTAACGCCATATGTGCCATGGACACAGTCGGTACCTTGAAATCGATTCTCACATCCAACCAATAGTAAACCAGAATGCCTCACAACCAATAGAAACTCTTATCTTACGATTATGTTAAACATTGTGAATGCTTCAATCAATCACTTACGTTAATTTTTGCGTCTATGCGTTATGATTATGTTTCCGTTCGCATTACGAATGGGCCGTACGTCGTTCCCGAGGTCCCCCGCCCCCGCCAGGCCGCGTGCGTACGTGCGTTGAGCAGCGCAGCTGGAGTTTGGGCCGTCCGGGGCGTTGCCGACGCCTACTCCCCCTGGAAAGCGCGGCGGAGGCGGAAGCGAGGGCGTGGGGGCGATCAATCAGGCCAAATGCGCAGGTGGCGCACAGGACTTCGCGTTGACGGCGACCAACTTCCAAGGACAGGGTATGGAGAGGAATCGGCGGGAAATTGTGTGTAACGTAGAAAGATGGTGACAGTGTACATGTATTCCCTTCAAAGATGGGGGACCGCTAATCAAACCGCGAAAAACAAATAATACTGACTTTTTTCGAATCCACTATCGTAAGTAAAGCACAAGAACAGGTGGTTTCCAGTACTCTTTATATATTGTGACAGGGGGGCTCACTAATGTAGAGACACAAAACAATTGATTTCAATATAGTTTGAAGAGAATTCTTCATCCATTTCCTTGAATGTAAGCCATTTCTTGTATTGAGCAAATATGCCAAATCCATTAATATGCAAATTATTTAAAAATATACAAAATATTTTCAAAGTTTATCAACGCAACTAGTGACTTGAAATGATCTAATGTCTTTATTTTCTTGTAGTAATGGGGCTGACAAAAGTTGCAGTAACGTGATCGTCAAATGGTATTAATTATTTTCATCCTACAAAAATGAATATATGTACTAAACTTCAGTAAAAATGTTGAAATATTAACAACATCAATAAACACAATTTAACTGATTTTTAGGCCCTTAATCTTCTTTATACCGACGTGGACATTCACATTTTGACTCCCGACGTCGTACAATCGGCAGCATAAGAACGAAGCCAATCTGTTTCATTGTTCACACGACAATAGCGCATTTTAATTATTTTGACACAAAATTAATTGTAAATTGCCCTTTGGACACACTCAATGATACTTTTTGTTAATCGCATACGCTGAAATCCAGAGCCTGGACATAAAATTGGGCAGCCGTAGTGAAGCGTCTACTCGCTTTAAAAGATTGAGGTTGTAAACCGGGACGCCATTTCGCTCGCAGGTCTGTGTTATTTTAAAGCAGCCGCTTCCTTCCCGTTCGCAACGTTGAGGACTAAGGGCTGATTTTATTTTTTCAGTACGGAGTAGAGAGTCATGTAAAGCTGCGCGAGAAAACAGCAAATTTTCAGAAGAAACTCGTATTACAGGGCCCTGGTAACGAAAAAGTGGGTAAATCCAGTTGCTAAATTCAGCGAGGAAAATCCTCTATCACGACGTGTAGCCATAATCCCTGTTTTGTGGGACCTTGATACCGAAAAATCGAATAATGGCCGAACGTCCGTCAGTCTGTCTGTCCGTCTATGAACAATGTTAACGCCTAAACCGATCAGCATATTTTCTCCAAAATTTATATTCCCCAATTGATCTGGTTGATATCGCGGTCTCTTGAATTTGAATCCAATATTTCTATTATGAGGATTACTTTACGTGAATCCACTGGCACATTTCCCAAATTTTCAAAAAATAGGCTCCATAAATTTTATTAAATTTTTCTGTTAGATAGTGAGAAGAACGTTTAGGAGAATAGTGCACGTCTCACTTTTGATGAAAAGCCTGAGTTTTCGAAAATTGTAAAATTTACAATATTTTTTAACGTCTTCCAACAACAAAAATATTAACGATTGATATTTTCCCTTGATGAAATCTATTCCATAAAGTTAGATTATAAAATAAGGTTTGTTTTTTTTAATTTGCGTAATTTTGAGTGAATATAGGGGGGAGAAAGTACGTGGTGTTTAAGCACCACTAGTCTTGTTGTGCGTTTCAGAGCCATATGTGTGTGTGTGTGTGTGTGTTTGTGCGTGCGCAGAGACGCTGGCGGCGGGCGGGCGCAGGCGCGCGCCGGGCGACGAGGTGGGCACGGGGCTGTGGCTGCAGAGCGGAGACGACTTCGTGGAGGTGTCGCGCAACGCCGACGACCTCCCGGCCGCGCACTGGTCGCGCGAGAACTGCGTCCTCGAGATGGGTGAGACAGCGCTCCGTCGGCTGAGCGACGAACGAGCAGATGAGATGAGATCAGATCAGATCGCGCGCTATTCTTGGCCCGTTGGATAGGTTGTGTCGCCAGGGAAACCACTAATCAGGGCAGAGAGCGACGATATCGATTCCCCGACATGCGCCACACGTTCGCTGATGGCGGGAAACACAATTACATTTCAGAGCCCGTACCCGCGACCACCTTAGACTCGAACGTAATACCTCTTCGTCTGACAACTGACCAGTGCTCTCTTTCATACTCTCTCACACTGTCTCTCTTTTTCTCGCACTCTCCCTCGCAATCACTCACTCTCTCGCTCGTGTGCGCTACTATCTGAGATGGCGCAGGATATCAATTAATGACACTGCAACGCCTCTGACCTATGGTTTTAAGACCCCACGCTGGCAGTATTTTTGACTCTAGCTACTACTCGACCACTAGGACGAGATACTAGCACTAGATCGAGTCCAGGCGTTGTGTGTCGGAGAATTTTAGCGGTCGGATGCTCTGGTCAGTAGTTTTCCGTAGTTTTCCGTAGTATCTCTGATACCACATGAATGCTGAGGCAGCACGCTAACAAACGGGCCATAGACCGCGCGCGCGATCTTTCCTTCCTCTTCCTTGTCCTATCCTGATTCCTAACTTACCTCACTGTTTCATGCATTACATTACTATACGTTTCGAGATATCAGTCGGGAACGTAGAATTTGCCGCATCTGGGACGCTGCCCCACTGGCGGGAGATACCTGGTTGGGAAAAGATCGCTACACGTCATATAGATTGGCACCTGATCTCGCCATCCAGTGGGAGAGATAATATGCACCTCCCGAGGAAAAACATGCTCTACAGTTACGGAATTACTGAGCATAGCAGCAGTCGCGCCCGGAAACATGAAATAAACGGTAAATTCAAGTCAATTCGAAACTGCACCGAGCAGTAAAAAGGAAATAAATATTATTTTTAACAATTGAAATTAAATGTATTAATTACCATTTGTATAATGCAATTCTAAACAACATGAAATAAGTATTGTATCTCAACTCCTGATTCAATGAACCCCTTCTCGTATTGGGTTATTGTTCAGTTTCACTGATCCTTCGAGCCAATGTTGAGATGGTCCCTTGTTTTGCATCTGATCATAAACGTAATTTCACAATCTGTGCACAATTTCTATATTTCAGTGGGAAATATTGTTTTCCGAATTTTCTTTCTCCATGCTCTCGCGTCAGTAATCAAAGTCCATCACGAAGGGCATGATGATGGATAATACCCGAAATATGTATAGTTTTCGTATGAAAATAGTTTTTATAACACGGATGCTAATATTTTCTCATCGAAAACGTTCGTTTCCACCTGTATTCATAATTCAACGTGTATTTGTGTTAGAGTAGGAATCCCAGAATTTAAGAAAACGTGCACGGACTGCACTTCTTCCCCACCGCCAGCCCTCATGAATAATCATGCACTATACTTACGGGAATAATTGCTATTGGCCTTTGACGCGCCCAGAAACACACAATAATCAATCTTTCTTTTTTCTCTCTTTCTTCCTTTCTTTCTTTCATTCGTTCTCTTTTACTCTCCTTTCTTACCGAGGTTCAAATCCAGGTCGATATGTATGGAGTTTGTGGTGGACCAAGGAAGTCTCTGGAGTTCTTCCCTTACCCCTATCCTCATTCCTTCACCGGTGCATTCGAATCCACATCACATTATTGCTATCACTACCGAAGCATCACCTTCTATCACTTTTCCATTTCACAGGCTCAGGAACAGAATTCAAAAGGGAATATTTGCCTTTCGTAAGAGTTTATTAATTATTAATGGAATTGCTTGCACACGAGCATTTGCGCCGTGTATGGGATTTGGCGGATATATGATAATACGATGATTGCTAAAGAATTTGTTGGAATCATAGTGAAACAGGAGAACCGAGAGGAAATCTGTCGCACACATATTTTGTTCATAATAATCGTTTTACTCGTTGATCAAGATGTCTACGATGAATAGAAAGAATGTTCAGAAGCAAAACACCACGAGGAACATTGGAAATGCGTATTCGCATTCACAGTTCTGAGAATTTGTGCACACATTTTTTGGCTGTGTCGTGTTCGAAAGCAAGGCGAGTCTTAGTGGCCACAGAGGTTATCTGTTTTCCTCGCCACTGCAGGTGGAAGTTATGGGCAAATCGGTTTCGCAACGAGTTATATCTGTGTATACTTGCAATGCATTCTGCAATCACTCAATTTGCATTCACTGTTTTCACCACTTGATGAATATTCAACAAAATCTATTTAGTAAGCACAAAAACCTGTCATACATATCGAACAGTCTCAGAAAAATTTCTTTGTACACAAAAATATGCGTATCTGTATTAACAGGTCTCGAACAAATCTTAAATTTATTTTGACGCGTCTCCTTTTTTGTTGTTGAAAGATTTGGATAGATTCTATTTTACATGTACACGGTGTTTCATTTAAACCCTTACAAAGAATTTTGAATGTTTAGAAACAAATTAGTGTCATATTAATTGCAGCAATTACAAAAATATTTATAGATAATAAAAATACACACCACTTAAAAGTATTTTAATGTTACAAATGTTTTAAAATTGATGCTCCTATTCGCTATGGATTCTTCAACTATTTATGATAAACGCATTATTTAGAATTTCATAAAAATCATTACCTTCATATCAACCCTTTTAGTATTGACAGTAGCACGAAAATTGCCCTTCCTCTTCCTCATCGTGAAAATAATAATTTACAGCCCAAAGCAGCATGAAATTATGTTTATTGAATCTCTTAAATTAACTCGTTCTCGAGATAAGCGTTCAAAACAATCTTCGAAAAATGTTTCACCCCGGGTAAGAAAACGTAGTATGACTTATTGCTGATATATATGTCAAATGTTCAAACAACTCCTCACTGCAGTGCCTCTGACCAGGAAGTTCTGTGGTTCGAGCCTCGACGGAAGCAGGATGTTCGAAACAAGATAGATAGCTAAGTCGAGTGGAATACAGTCATTGTGTGGAGGAAAATTCTAGCGGCCGGCTGCTCTGATAGGTAGTTTTCTGTAGTTTCTCCAATCAACACCAGGAGTGCCGGAGCACTACCATAATAAACGGGTCACGGACCGCGTACAATATTTTCTTTCTCTTCTTTGACATATTCCCACCTCTTACGTACACACACTCGCATACACTACCACACATGCCAAAAGACCTTTCTTATTGCTTGTCCTGGCTGCTGCTGTTTCATTGTGTACATTGTATCTCTAAGTTTACTTCGTGTTTTCTGTCTGGAAGAACTTCATATAGAGGAGTACCTTTACTGTAAACCCCTTTGCACGTAATGGATAACACGAATTTCACTTTATTATGATCAAAATTTGGATTCCAGTAAAGAAACAGTAATACGGATTTTCAACATACTACACGATATATTGAAATATATAGGCTGGCTCAATAAGATGTTCCCTTCGAAAATCTCCTTAACCGCTGCAGTTACTAACAATGAGATCCTGTTTTTCACCATCACGAACATATCCCAGGGACACAAAAATGATGTATAAAATTAAACAATATCATTTTTTTATTCAAGAAATATTGACATAACTTTAATTTTTTAAATAGAAACTTGTGTATTTCATGAGTTCCTGACACGTTCATGTAATGTATAATACCGTATGTTACATAATATTTTTGTGAAATTTAGTTTTTACGAACAAGCTGACTTAATATTCTGCTACTATCGCAGTTTTTCCATTTCACCCCTACCTCCTTGCCAACCCTTTCTTCTCGTCCCCCATTAAGGGGTGTCAAAAATAAACTATTTCACACAATATTGCTTTTAAAATATTAAGTAATAAAATATCACTGCATTCTTATTTTTATGATACCTATTGTAGGAGAGAAAACAAAAATTTCCAAATCATAAAATTAAATTTTCGCAAATTTAAACATGTTTTTAACTACCTCAATAATATATAACTTGTCCCATTATTGTTTTGTTTGGCATCAAAAAGTGTCAAAATAGGCTGATATTACGAAACAGATAAGTTTTAAATAGGGTGGATAAACGCAAATAGATAGATGTATTAGGCATTGAATTGTGTCTGTAATTTAATTATATAGTAATAAATCATATTGAAGGCCAATTTTTTTAAAAAAAGTACATCTACAAGTTGATCAAATTCCGTTTCAGTTAGGATGGTGTAATATTTCTTCCTGGCCAAACGATAGGAGTTTCTTAACTGAAAATGTAAAAATTGTTCCTATAACCATGTGTTGGCTAATGAGATATTACAGTTGCACAAAAATTAAAACAAAAATCAATGATTAGAAACAATGGGTGGGGAGAGTATCCACCAACGGGCAAAATCGACCATATATGCACAAATATGCATTAACACGTTAATCGACATCTACTTCTAACCAAATGACAAGATATTTCACTTATTAGAAGCTCGTCCTGAAGAAGCGGACAAATATATTCAAAATCTTGGAAATCGCCCTGTACTAATAAATAATATTAATTATATTTTATTTATACATTCCTCTTGCCCAACTCTTGCCGAGAGCTTACCTATGAGTAAGTGCGTGGTGCGATGTACAAAAGGAGATTCGTGGGGCGCTTGTCACGCCCGTACATGGCACAGCCATCTTGTCCACACCGCAGGGCCAACGCAGCCGAACAGAAGTACTTGAAGGGCGTTACCCCAACGCTGGGCGTGGTCCTAAAAACAAGAAATGCCTCAAAAATATTGTAGTGAACCGTCGGGAAATATACATTAGTACGTACTCGTTTCTTCTCGTTCGTTGTCACGGTCTAAAGGATTCTGTTTATAAAATCAAATTCAATATCTCTTAAATTCTAAAACAAAAATGTGGCTTAATATTATACTTCACCTTATTAGCCTATCGCATACGCTCGTTTGAGTGGAAACCGCATTTCAGTATCTACAACCGGCAAGGAGATACTGGAAGGAAAAATCTTGTGAGCTACCTGAATCCGATAAGACGAACACCGGTTTGCTCTATCCTTTGGAATTCGTGTTAATCAGGGTTTACTGTAAAATGTTCGTGAAACCGCAAAACCGTACTGTTTTGCCCTGAACTCTAGAAATAAGTAATACTATCCTTGGAATGTGTTCTTGGACCTTGTGAAAAATACAGTCGATGGGCTTTGTAAATCGTTTAGTAAAACTTTGAGTCTAACTTGTTATCTATCTCAATACGTACACTGCGGTCTTTCCAATTCCTATTAATTCCGATAAATGATCTATCTTTCAGCTTCATTTCTTTGCGCGCGTTCTAAATCCTGCGCTGTTTGTGTTGTCGCAAGGCCGCCACTACTACTACAACGTGAGCGAGCAGCTGCCGTGCGAGATGGCGGAGCCCTTCTTCCTGCTGGTGGACAACCGCAAGGACGCGCTGCACGGCGTGGGCTTCCAGATCTTCGGCGAAGCCTCCGTCAAGAACCGAAAGTGGTTCGAGTCGGTGCCGCCCTACGCCGTCAAAGTAAGGTTCATACACTTAATTTCCCGTTGCCCACCTGCTTCGTCTTGCGAATTTCCACAAAAAAAGAAGAAAAAACCCGCATTTTTGGGTGTATCCAAATTTGGGGTAACAGTTTTGGGACTTTATCCTTTTTTCACAAAAATGTTCATGCAAAGATTCAAAGCTGTCGTTGCAAAGATTCAAAGCTGTCGTTGCAAAGATTCACAAGCTTTTATGGAATGTACATACATATATACAAAACTAAATATTAATAATTTGAATTATTTAGTGATAGCCTATCGTACCTACATTTCACATATATACTAGAGTTGCAATAGTGATCATATTTTGAGCATTGCAAATATCATCATTGGCTGATTCAGAATCAAATAATGTTTAATGATTTAATAACTGCAACTTAAAATGAAGCGTATGTCTGGTATTTGAAACTATCTTTAGCAACATGAAAACAAAATCTATTTGCAAATATCTATATGATTCTTATGCGATTACAAAAGAAACTAATTGTTAAAGTATAGCATTAATATTTGAATAGCAGAAATAACATTGTAATCTGTACATTATCCATCCAATGCCCACATGTGCCTATTTTGTCGACATATGCCTGGAATATTTTCATTGTTGTACAAGACATTCAATTTTGAGAAGTACATAATTTTGTGAGAACATAATATCTATGAGGAACAAGAGAAACGCTTATCCACAAAATTTTAAAATTACAAAACAGTTATTCATCCAACGTTTACTACTGAACAAATTAGAAATAAAAGATAAATTATAAAATAAAAAATGATGGATGTAAAATACAAGCATATTTCATTATTTAGAGCGTAAACAATTTCAATTTTCTTTCAAATTTACTAACTCGAATACGTTAAATTAATTTAATATGTCTTTATAAAACAATTGCTCATTACGTGTAGAGAATATTACATTACGTAAAATTACACATTTTCTAAATAATTTTTTTAAATTGTCATTTTTGTTATAGAGTACCCTGCCAAACTCACCGCAGTGCCTAACGGATTGGGTCAAGCAGTATGGACTCATTTCTCTCCACATGTATTTCGTCGACAAACCTTGGTTCATCATTTGTTAAAAGAACAACCAAACATCACGATAAATATTTCTGTGTTCACACAATTATTATAATCGTGATTTTTTAAAACTGTCCTTGAAGATATTTCTTAAATGATTTCACGAAAAAATCACTTCAAAATCCAACTACAGGTCTGTAAAGACTGATATAATAAAGACTTTTGTAGTTTAACAAGGAATGTTAATTTTGTTTTCCTTTGGCTGTTTGTAATATGAAATAATAAAATAATAATAATAATAATAATAATAATAATAATAAGTATTATTATTATTTAATTTATATAATAATAATATATATTATATTATTATATTATTTAATTATAATAATAATTATAATAATAATATAATATCAAAGTAAAATCAAAACACGTGTTCTGAAAAATACACATTTTCGTTTACATATGTAAGATATTGAAACTTTTCTCGTTTAGACAATATTCTACTCGTTGTTGAGATGTTTTGTAATTTTCATAAATGTTTACTACAAACCTCATGGTGTGTGTTGGTACAACTATTTTTCTGGAATCATTCGAATATCATTTCTAAAATTATTCTTCAAATTGTCTAAAATTTTCTAAAATCGTTTCTAAAATTATGTTCACGATAGTTACAACAGAAAAATGCGATTATCGAAAAAATGCGTAGAGGTGCAGATTATGTTTTAATGAGAAGTATAATCTAGAAATAGAGTAATTACAAGTACTTAATTGGATTTTAAAATTATTTCAGAAACTATTATAAAATAGTGAGTGATACACTGATAGAACTTCGGTAAATCGGAAGTTAATGGTGCTCGTTTCTTTGACACGAAAAATGTTGCTCACCATATATAGAAAGCAATCGTTTTTCAACATTGTCAACAGATGAACGTATGATAAATGACAATCCACATTTTCGCGATACTTTTAAGCATTCGTTTTATACACAACATACTTATCATTACTACAATTTAATAGTAATACTACAACTACATTACTGATTTAATAGTGCACTTTTGGAGGCTGCTGCACCCACAATACTACTACCTACTATTATATTGCTACTTTTTCGTAGTACTGTTCTCTAATATACCTACATTCTCGTATTGAAACCCAACAGAGGAATGAAAAGGTAATCTTAATGGCCGCCGGACATTAATGAACCACGTGATCATCAAACTATTTATTAAACTTCGAAAACATATGACATAAAATAAAAGTAACACGCACACAACATAAATCACATACAAAACTAATTTTCAACAGTTAAATTTAGTTATTTTTTAACTTACAATTTCTCCTTGCGGTAAATCGGAACATTGAATAAACTATTATTATTTTTATAATTATTATTATTATTATTATTATTATTATTATTATTATTTTATAACCATCATTATAATTGAGGTATTTATCTCTCAAAATACTTATCAAAAAAATTCACTCGTGTGTTTATTATGAGTATTGGCCATCTTTGCGTTTGCAGAAAAAGATTACATTTGCGAAACAGTGAAATCACTTTTCTATGTCCTCCTCTTCCTTTTTGGAGGGAGATTTCACCCCCTTTAAGCGTTTGTCCACGCGTCCATGGCCTACACCATTCTACGTTGAAAATACTTAGTTCGGCTCTTCGATTATCGAAGTGTGTCGTTGTGCAAATAAATGTCATGAGAGGGAACAAACACACAAAGTGCCAGATTTGTATTTTCGCTACAGAAAATGTACCATCTATATTTGAACAAAATGATCAGTACCTATGATAGCTACACTAACAAATTAACATAACAGTAGAGGTATTTGTGAAAGTAATCCAGATGCACTTTTCTGCTTATTACAAAGAAATATGAATGTTTTTTATTGCTGGGCACTCTCAGAGCTCAGAGTTGGGCATGCTCATCTAGATCACGGATGTCTAGCTTGCAAGGCCACAACTGAAACCTTTAATATGGTTGCGGACCATACTTACATTACTCGAGTAATCTACATCTGTCTTCCCCGAATTGTTGATCACGGCAGTTTTCCCGGTTGTTCTGAAACCGGGAGAACCGGGAGGATTCGTGATATCAGGCTGCGTTTCAGGCGCAAAACTCGGTGAAACATCAGGATGATTTTGAATTTTTGAATTAACTAGGAAAAAAATCTTAAATGTAAACATGACCTATTGTTACATTAAAGGGGGAGGGTGTTGGTCCCGTCAGGGTGCCTGTGCTAGGCGCCCAACGTTCTTCCCCCTCTTTCAGCACGGGACTTTCCCTGTTGACTTATAACCTTGCTGCATGCGGCCGGCGAGCCGCCTGACGGGCAATCCTGGTCTAGAAGGTCCAGGAGAGCTAGATGGTTTCCGTGTTTTCCCAAGACATCGAAGATAGTTAGAACTGCTTTTATGAATTCTTACAAGGTTCGATTGTCTGGGGAAAATATACGTTATTTCAAACGTTTAGGAAAGAAGAGGATTCCCCGAGATCTCCTGTTTCCATTGTCTTTGACTGGGTCAATAACTCAAATCAATACATCGTAATAAGGAATCCCCCAAAGTACGCGAGTGGAAACAAACAATCCACTAGTAGTGCGTTAACACAGAGCCTGTTATTTCCCGCTCCGTGACGGTTACGCAGCCATCAAAACACCCGGAGCGCGCGGCCGGCGCAGCGCGGCGCCGCCTCCGTAACGCGCTAGGAGAGCGCAGGGGGCGGAGGGAAGGCGGCGTGACCTGGCGGTACCGCGAGGTTTTCCTCAACCAGGTATCTCCCGCCAGCGGGGCACCGCCTCAGCCGGGACAAGCTCTAAGCTCCCGGGCGGTCTCCCGACATGTGCGACAGTGAAGTGCATGTAAGTGTAAGTGTGAGTGTGTGTATGTGAGGATAGGACAAGGAAGAGGAAGAGTCACTGCAGTGACATCAGACGATGCCCTGAGTCCTGGGCGAGAAGTGGCACTGGATTGAAGGAGGGAGTACACAGTGCATCCGGAAATGTGATACTTTGGTCGTTAGAACCGGGATGAGCGCGTTGAGTTAGAACCGGGAACCGCGTGAGATACGACGTCCATCAGCACGTTATCTTGCTCGGGTTTCCCCTACAGATACACCTCCGCCTGGAAGGCGCCGCCTCAGTTGGAACAAGCTCAAACCTCCCAAACGCTCTCCCTCTCCTACGTGGTTCATATATATAACACTCTTACTCCTTGCTTCGAATACTCATTTAACCAGAGCAAATATTTTTCTGGCTGAACAAGTTGAATGTGGCATCGCCAATGTAACAACACCGTTTTTAAATTTTTTTTTTTTGCATTGCAATGAAAATTCTAAAGTTGTACGTCTGTCAACATGAGGAGTTCTTACAGTCCTGTTTGGCTTCGGACGGACCCAAGGAACTCGTGTAGCTTGATAGTTACGATCCGTTTAAAAATTTCGACAGCCCGGCAATGTCACGCCTACCCTCATGTTACTGTTTCGTCGTTCTGGCTTCTTGTACATACGGGAATATAAACTGGTAATACTGATATATTGTCAAAATTATAAGCCTGCAGTAAACGTTTCTTGCAGGTAGGAATTCGTTGCGAAAAGTTCGAATTTAATCAGCTGAATTTCTGAACCCTTTTCTTTCTATTGGACTAGATATGCGGCACATAAAAGCTCACCTGTAAAATTCTCTCTGCATTATCATCGGGTACTTCCAATTGTCTCTTTCGAATCTCTAAAATGCTCCATAGCTTCAGTTTTTTCCGTATTCAACGTTTCGGCGTTCTTCTTTATACACTGTGGCTGGTTTATCAAATTTATTCCTGAAAATACGCCGTAATACGGGTCAGGAAACATAACTTCACGTAGTTTCAAGTGCAGCATCACTATTGACAATCACCAACGTTGGTTTTACATGTTCCAACACAGTGTTACATCTCATAGAGAAATGATGGTATCGTAAGAGCAAAATGTGACTCCTAGCTACGTGGGTTTAATGAGATCGACGTTGTAACCAATAATAATTTCTAGGTATCGTCTTCTAGCGTTTAACCATAAGACTCGCAACCCTAAAACACGCTAAAAACACGTTTTGAAAATGATAATAGCCGAAATACGAACTTGAAGAAGTGCCCCACAGCACCGAAATCGGAGAATAATCATATGAAAGAATAAATAATACGTACAGTTATACTAGTGGGCAAAAATCTAGCGTTCCTTAGTGTAATCTGTGTGCAAAGGCTGCATCGTATGAAAAATGTTTTCCCACGTTTTATACAGGCTCCTACAACCTTCCTGAATCTTCTGACTCTGATCCGATAAACAAGTATATACAGGAGCACTGAGACGCGTCAAAATGTGTATTCGGCTGTGGTCGCATCAAATTCTGCGATTGCTCAGCCGGGAAGTGTCCACCTGTGAGGGACGGATCGCA